GCTGTGCGTCAGAACACATTTGGTAGCAAAGGATGTGTTCAGTGCTCAGTCTTTCATGTTCTTGGGAAGAAACGATAACCCAAGGTCCATCTCTCCATGACCTTTCTGAATTCTGCAGATTTAGTGCCAACAGCACTGTGAGTAATGGCCAGGCTGAGGTCAGGAGCAAGGGACTCTGTCCGGGAGATCAGCGTTCTCCCTGCCCTCACTCAGCACCATGCGGAAGACGTGCGCCAGTCACTGGGTACGTCGGCTTCCACCTGTCCCCAGCCCTGTTCCTCCTTCCTCACTGCACAGAAAGAGTGGGTGGAGAGGGAGGCAGGCCAGGGCCAGCTCATGCCCACGAGGGATCCAGTTACCCACACGGGGGGGCAGGGGGACACAGTTGCCCAGCGGGTTAAGGTTGGCAGTGCCAACGTCATGGATGGAAACTCTGGAGACCAGATCCCTGGCTCTGCCACTCTCAACCCGTCGCCGCCATCACCTAACCAGTCCAGTTCCCAGCTTCCTTCTTTGTAGGAGACAGAAAGACAGACTGACCAGGGAAAGGAAGGGAAGGATGAAGCGGGAAGGAAGGGAGGAAGGAATGTGGGCAAGAAGGCAGGCGGGCGGGCGGGTGGGCAGGTGGAGGGGGCAGAGTGGGGGAGGGGGGAGTGCTTGACAAATGGACCATTTCCAAGGGCTTCCCTCCCTGAAAACTTGGACCGTCACAAAGGGCTCAGGCAGTGAGAGCCAGAGGAGGGTCGTGCCAGTGCCATCGTCCTTCTCACTAAGCAGCAGATGAAGGGACTTGGTTATGATCTTGCTCTTGATGTAGGAGTCGGGCCAGCTGGACAATCAGACCTGGACCCACCGGTGCTGGTCAGGGGGACACACAGGGCTCCCTCTGCCATTCCTCAAATTCATTACCCAACCAGCGCAGCATAAAAAGAACAAAACGCTTTGTAGATGATTTAAATAGATGGTACAGACCAGGCACATCCAGGGTCACTGTGAGCCATCAGAAGGGTGGCTGGAAACCACCTGAGAAGATTCATCCTTTAAAGGACATCATATCATACGGTGTGTCATTTACTCATATGCTAAACGTGTGCTCTGCTTAGTTGCGTTTTATTGCCCTTTTGTTCAAACTGCGGTTCTCTCGTTTCATGAAACAATTAATAAGAATTTTTTAAAAATCCATTGTAATCAAGAACAGGAAATAAACATTCCGAACCCCTAGAAACATTCCAAATGTAAAGTCCATGAACCTTCCAAAAGGAAGGTTAGGAAGAGCTATGATCTGCAGCTGCTTCATAATTGTCAAACCACTCAGAAACAGAACTGAGATTGTTTCATATACCGGAAATAACAGCAGAATAGCTTTGTTTAAAAAAAAAATCGTATCAGTCCATTTGTGGATAAACAGTGCCCAGCCAAGCACTTGGTATTATGTGCTCCCATTTCTAGAGAACTTTTCTTTTACTATTAAGGACTGTATTTACCATAAACATCTATTACAAAATTATGCATTGTTTATTCTTTCTTAAAAGAAGTGTAAGCTGCGTGGGTGTTGCCGGGTTGAGGAGTAATTGAAATAAGCCCTTTGGTGTGTGCTGCATACAAGAAAGCTTCACGAGATCTAATCTTTTCTAAACCTGCTCTGTCCTCCGGTTTAGTGGAGCTTCCTAATTGTAGCTATTAGCTCCCCTCTTTCTTGTGGTCCCTTGTCAATGGACTATTGAGTGTTGGGTAAATGAAGCCAGACCAGGAGCCAACACATGGAGACAGACGTTAAATCATAGCCTGGCGGCCCTCATTCATTATTCGTGTCTGTGGAATAGCTTCTAAGCCCAGGGACAGGATTTATTTAAGATGATGCACATTTGTGTCATTCTCAGATTTCCATACAGTACAATCAGGTATGTGAGGGCTTTTTTTTTTTTTCCTGGGCAACAGGTGTGTTCTTGAAACAAAGTTCAGCCCCCACTTCTGGCTTATGTGAGAGGCGGCAGCTGCAGGCTTAATGCCTGTGACACATGGTTCTGCAAGAGAGAAAAAAATAAACGACTTGTTCAGAGTATGAAAGCAATGGGCAGATGGGCGGTCGCCGCCTGGGCTTTTCTTTGTGTGGTGGAGCCGTGGCCTCAACTGTGGGTGACCGTGTGTCTCCCCCTCTTTCTCTTTCTCCTTCCTTCTCGCCTGTCTTCCCTCCTTTCTTCTGTTTTTCAAAAACCAGTTAAAAACATAAATTTCTTTATGCATTACATAGTCCATATTCTTTCACTGGAGGCATGCTGTTTACAGGCTGATGGTGGGGAGAAGGAAAAACGGAATGAGTCAAGGTGGAGTTTACAACTCATTTGTTCTAAAAAGAACTTCAAGAGACTGTTCACTACACAATTTGAAGTGTGCAAATCCTACTTTTTCTTTTTCTTTTTTACAATGCAAATAACTACTGATTTATTTATTTATTTATTTTTGTGCTGGGGATTAAACGCAGGCATCCCCGGCCGCCTTTTTATATTTTATTTAGAGACAGGGTCTCACTGAATTACTTAGGGCCGCTGTCTAAGTTGCTGAGGCTGGCTTTGAACTGGCGATGCTCCTGCTCAGCCTCCTGAGCGGCTGGGATTACAGGCTTGTGCCACCAAAGAACTACTTATTCATAGGCCTCATTATTCTCGAGTGAAAAGTTTCCACCTGGAACGTTGTGAGATGTCACTAGTAAGATTACAACGTCCTGTGGACGCTAGAAGCACACCATCAGCAATAACTGATGGTAACAATGACCACTCCAGCCTGTCTTCACTGTCCTGGGGACATGTGAGAATGTCGGCTCTCAGGTGTGGTCATGCCTTGGCATACAAGCAGCTGCTGCCTTACCTTGCTGCACACAGGTTTCTTGTAAATAAAAACACCAAAGAGGACAGACCAGTGTGATGGTGGAGCTGTGGGGAGCCTCTGGCATGGACACGTCTTAGTACAGTCTTTTCTGGAATTCAAGCGTAACAGAGGTCCCCCTCTTATACCAAAGGGTATTTCAACAGAGATATTCAACAAAAAAGAAGAATCTTTGGTTTTCTGAAGTCTGATAAACAAGTACAATGCAGCTGAATATCGCGAGATGAGCTATCATTTCACGGCCACCTTGGCTTCTCTGGTAAAACCGAGCCCCTGATTTCCCTGCAAGACCAGAGCTGGGCTCATGTATGCCAGCGATAGGGGAAGGAGCAAAGAAAGAACCTTTTTTCACCTTTTTCCCCTTAACCCCAAACCACAACTTGATTCCAGAATCATATTTTCTGGGAATCTGCATTGAAAATGGTTTCACCCCACTGTCTCATCAGTAAGAAATCTAGAGGCAGACGGATTTGGAATTCATTCCTCTGAAACCCACAAAGGCCAGTGGGAAAAAAGAACCTGCTGATAAGTTTGTTTTTAAGTTGTTAATTGGTTTGGCTATTTAGATTTTCTACTAAATGCATGCAAATAACAGCCAACCTCAGGAAGCTTGCTGATATCTTAAAAAGTGTGAAGCGTACAACAGGAGACCGGGAAGCTGGCCTCAACACTGTTCAAGGTCTCTTCCAACCTAGGGATTCTCAAATTTTCTGATATTACTTTTACCAGTCGCACTTAAAAAAAAATATGGTAAGAGACACACAACAAAGTTTGCCATCTTCATCCTTTACGTACATGATTTGGTGGTGTAAAGGATGTCCGTGGTGTTGTACTCTCTCCGGAACGTCTTCATCTTGCAAAACTAAGACGGTACCCATTCATCAGCATCTCCCCGTCACCCCCTTCCTCAGCCTCTGACAACACCATTCTGTCTCTGTAAATTTGATTCCTCAGGGTACTTCAGATAAATGAAATCACATATCTGTCTTTTTGTGTCTGGCTTATTTCCCTGAGCAGAAAGTTCGCAAAGCTCACTGCTTTATAGCATGTAATAGGATTTTCTTTCTTGTTAAGGCTGAATAATATTCCATCGTACGTCTACACCGCGTTTACTTGATCCGTTCATCTGTCAACGGATCATTAGACGGCTTCCCCCCTGGGCTACTGTGAACGGGGGTGCGTAACATCTTCTCGAAACCTGCTTTTGGGGATACACCGGCCATGGGATTGTCGGACCTCGGTTTTTCTCTTTTTCATTTTTTTGAGGATCAGCCACACCATTTGCCATAGCAGCTAAACCATTCCGCATTTCCACCATTTTGCCCACATCCTCACCAACCCTTAACAGCTTTCTGGGTTTTTCTGATAGTGGTCACCCCAATGGATGTGAGTTATATCCTCAGGCTACACTTTAAGGAAAGAAGAGGGGCCTGGTGACAGAGTCAGCGCAGCCAGTCTCTTTTTAAAAACACAAGCCAAGTGGTCCTGTGCCCAGCGCCCTCCGTGGCTTCCTCCTGCTTGGAATAAGACCAAATTCCCTTACTGTGACTGACAGGCCCGCCGGGGTGGGCCTCCGGTTCTCTCTCTCCCCAGCTCACCTTCTCCCTGGCCTCCTGCTCCCTGAGAACACGCGAGCTGGCTCCATCCTCCGTCTGAGACTCTTCCCTGCATCACTACGGGGCTCACTTCCTCCACTTGCCCATCTCTGCTCAATGTCACCTCCTCAGATACACCTTCTATAATGATGTCCCTGCTCCCAGCACTTTCTGGAGCATTATGCTGCCTTCTGATCTTCTTGGTCGTACCTGTTCTATATGAATTCGTTTATATATTTACATGCTGCCTCTCTCCCATAGTAAAGTGAAAGTTCCGTGAGGCTAAGGCTTGGCCTCTCCTGTCCATTCCTGACCTCCCAGCTTCTAGGACCGTGCCTGGCAATGCCCCATCAGCAGGTGCTGCAGGAAGGAGTGAGCCAGGGACTACATCAGTGAGGGTTTTAGCTACCGCCATGCTAGCCAGTGAAAAATAAGTAAATAAGATCCCATCATGCCACCCGTGTCGTCAGAGGCCAGGCTGGCCACTCTGACTCTCTATGGGGAATGGGAGGAAGTACTCACGTGAGTGTCCACGTCACCGGCAAGGATCCTGCTGTTCTTTAAGAACTCAGCCACCACGCTGTCCATCAGCTTATCAAAGGCTTCCACGGAGGGCGCCACACCTTGGAGAGGAACATTTAGTTATTCCCTGGCAGTCTAATGAGAGCCAGGCCTGCCTTGCACAGGTAACGTGGATGATGAATGTCCCCGTCATCACCGCTAATGTGTTCCCAAAGTCATTCCCTGGCTCAACCCCGACGTACCGAGCACTTCTCAAGGGCTCAGGAAAACAGTGTCTTCCACCCTCCTGAGTGGGGACTTTTGCCCACAGCCTCTCATTTTCCTCTCCTCCAGCTCAGGTGGCACCATCACAGGTGCAGAGGAGGAAAGGGAGAGGCCGACAGAGCGTGTGTGCTGCCCTTCCCTGCTAGGGACGGAACAAAGGGCAAATCCCAAACTGAACTGAGCCAGATTCACCCAAGGCCACGGGACTTTTTTCTACAGGGACCTGTCCAGGTGCTAGGTCATCCTTACAAATAGCTACCAATTCTTTGTCCTGGGGGCCAAAAAAAATGGGCATGATGGACCCTGGGTAGGGAGGCAAAGACTGCTGACTCCACTCTTCCTGCTCCTTCCTCTGTCCCAGAGGGAGGAGAGGGGCCCTGATGGAAAGGCAGAGATCATGGACAGCCCACGGGGTTCTCAGTGCCTGCGACCCTCGAGCTGAAGTGACGACAGCCCAGCTCTGTGTCCTTTCCCTACTTTTTGATCAAATGAAGAAAACCTGGGTCTCTGACTTCCTGCCCCTAAGACTGAGAAACATAATATTGAGAAACTTAGACTTATGGCCTGTTGATATCCAAACCCAAATCTAGCATCTCCTTTCTTCTGTTGTATGAATACATCATCCTCACCCATAAAGCTAGAGGAGAAAGCTTCCTTCCCTCTCTCTTATTCCTACTTGCCCAGTTTTACCAGCTCAAAGGGGATGGAAATGTTCTGAACAGCCCTCTGCACCTATAAAGTTTCAAGCAGATGTTGAAACTGTGCTATCTTAAATGCAAAATTCTTGAGCGTAAGAGGACACAAGCCCCAGCTGCCTCACGGGTTCACCTGGAAATGGATAACCCTGTTTGCTGTCGTGGAAGGGGCCCAAAGGTCTCTGCTGAGTATTTAAAGTGGGAGAAAGTTTTGGAAATGTGACAGAGGCCTCTACCTAGCAGAGGGTTCGGTGATGAAAGGGAATATTTTCTAATTTCCTTTCATCACTCTACTCTGCTCACACCTCCTCCGGGCAGCCTTTAATGATCTGTCCTCTCACCAGTCTGCACCCTTTGAGCATCTCTTAATCAAAGCATTTGCAGCTCTGAATAGTAATGCACGGAGACCAAAGGTTCCTGAGGATTAGGACTGTGTATAATTCATCTAAGATGTCCTCGCACCTCGCACCTTGTTTGTCACTTGGCAGGAATGCAAAAGTACCGCTTCAGTTGTTAAGCTGGACTTATCTAATTATGGTGAGGGGGTGAGTGCGGAGCCCCACATCATAAAACACGTCATGACACACATAACAGCAGACCTTTGAGCTATGTGCACTATGTATTTGTAATGGATTATGTTCTTTCTAGAAATTTCTTTTAAAGCAAAACATAACAAAACAAAATATTTTGGGTGCTGGGGATCAAATCTGGGGCCTCGAGCATACTAGGCAAGTAACTCTACTACTGAGCCACACCCCCAGCCCCTAAATAAAAATTTTTAAAAATTTGACTCTAGGGACTGGGGTTGTGGCTCGGTGGTAGAGTGCTCATCTAGCATGCATGTGGCACTGGGTTCGATCATCAGCACCACATAAAAATAAAATAAAGATATTGTGTCAACCTAAAACTAAAAGATAGATATTTTTAAAAAAGAATGTGCTTTATTTAAGTTTTTCCCTAATCCTTAAAAATATTTGACTCTAGTTAAATAATAGTAATGATGATGTTTATATTTAAGGTTAAAAAGTTGTTCTTAAGGATTTTTTAAGAATAGAATTTAGGAAGCTACCCACACGTACTAATGAAGGGAAAAAAATGTCAATGATGTTGTTTAAGACTTGTAATATATTCGAACGATGGGCCTCATTCAGACATTTTACTAATTATCTTCCTTATTAATTACCCTACTTCATTTCAAGTAGGATAATAAATTGCTAAGTTGTTTTAGAAAATCTTTGCTTTAATAAACGGTTTGCAATGATGTGCTATATTAGAAAATATCTGTTTAAACACCAAATTATTAAATTATGTCCTCCAATTTTGCTAGCCTATTCATTTTCCCAGAAAAATTATTTTCATAAAGAAAGCACAAAATTCAATCTCTACTATCTAGAGATGCATAAGATTCCAATCGTTGATTTGATTTTTCTTTACTCAAGAGCATAATTCAATCCTCAGAGGGTGGATTTTGGGGTTTTTTAAATTTTTTTTTGTTTTTTTTTTAATCACTCAGACTTTACATTTGGGGTCAGCAACCTTAGGGAAATGTCCGCACTGGGGATGAGGCCAGGACATAATGAAACAAAGTTACTGAAGAACATGAAAAGTATTTTCTTACCAATAAGGTTGAGGAGTCTCCAAGACTCACTGTACAGCTAACAAAGACTTAAAATGAAATCATGAATGTGTTTCAGTGGTTGTGGAAAAAACTTCCAGACCCCTGGCAGCCGGCCTGCAAGCCCCGCCCCTTCCAATTCATTCAGGGCATTTTAATTTTCATTGTGTTCAGGGGGAAAAGACAGCCGGCACATTTGTGCTCACCCAGTAATTCCTGTCCCCTGGCATGTAACACAAGGCACAGCTCCAAATACGCCCGAGATTCTGGAAGCACCAATGGAGGTCTTCCCTGGGGAAGTGGATTCTGAAGCCTCCTCTTCTCCAAGGCTTTTCTCAGACCTCCAAAAAGCTGACAGGCTTCAAAACGGGTCAGATAAGGAGGAGGTGCACGTGGGACAGGAACAGAACTACCATGTTAAACACAGATTGCCCAGTTAAATTTGAATTTCAGAGAAGCGATGAATAAATTTCTAGTATAAATATGTACCATGCAGTATGCCCAGGCAGTATTTGGGACACATTTATACCAAAAAAAAAAAAAAAATCTTCTTTATCTGAAATTCAAATTTAACTCGTGCCCTGTATTTTCATTTGTTAAACTGCAGACTTAGACAAGAAGGAAACTGGAGAAATTATTATAGATAATTTGAAGAGTCTGGCATATAGGGTACCCTCTTAGAGAAAGAATTTTTTTTGAACCTACAATTTTTAGGAATCTTTTTGGTGGTGTTGGTCTATAGTTTTCAAAGAGTGAATAAGCAAGGTGAACATAGGAGGTGGCTCTGGCACATTTCTCAAATTTCCCTCCACATCAGACTGGCTTCCCTCAAAGCTGCAGTTCCTAAATGCAAGGACTTGTCTTAAAATCAACATCCACAGGATAATTCCTTCCAATCACATTGCCATTGAGAACATTTGTTTCTTTTCTTTTTTCTTTTGATAATCACTTTGGATAATACAGCCACTGAGTATTAGAACAGCCATATAAACACTAAAACCAAGAATAATGACATGGATTTCCACTCTTAAGAGGCACAGATGTTGGTAAATTTTTGTGGACTGCAGGTTGAAACTTTTAAAATGTTATTACTTTTCATAATTGGTGCAAAAAATTTGTTCGTATTTATGGGGAAAGAAAACTCATTTTTTTCCTTCTCTTTTTTCAGGGGCTGCGTGCTTATGGCCACACAGAAAGGAAGGAGGAGGGACTGTGGCAGCAAGCAGGTGGACTGTTATCTGGACAATGAAATGATGAGGACAAAGTTAAGTGACCCACACGGAAACCAGCCATGACCGCTGTGTGGCCCTACCTCCATGGACGCCGTTCACCTCCCCACAGTTCCCAGGAGGCTTGTGTGACTCTGCAGACAGCTGCTCCAGCCGGCAGACGGCTCGCTCCAGTCTCTCCACCAGGCCCTGCATGTCTTCCATTCTAGAAGGACACACACACAAAGGGAGGCCACGTGAGCACCAGGGTGACACCCGTACACCTGCCCGCAGGAGGAAAATGAGAAGTCCTCAGGGCGGCTTGAATGACCGAAAGACCATCGCCACACGTCGGGAAAGTACATGAAATTCAAGAGAACACACAAACTTGGAACAAAAAAATTAGCAAACAATCGAAAGCTTACTTTGTACTCAGCTCAGTGCTTTTTACATGACGTGAAAATGAATACGTCAGACACACCACCCTCCTCTACCTCACCCTCCAGCGCCTGCTCTGTGCTTCCTGGTTACAAGATACAACTTAGACATGGTGCCTGCTTAAACGCCCACAAGCACATATCCCAAAATTGATATTGCCAACTCTGGCTCTGCTGAATGGTGGGGGAATATTTTAACTCTTTCCCACAATTCTTCCTGGCAAAGCATCATTCCCCAGGGGCTGCTAAACCCATGGATAATCCTTATTTACTGAGTAGTGAGAAAACCAAACAGCCCAGCACAGAACTGAATTTATGAAACTATGTGCCATGAAGTGGGGAGGAGAGTCCCTCCCCAAGCCAGTTGGTTCCAGTGGGGTTTCTGTTGCTGAATTAGTTTAAATGAAAATGATTCTGAATGGTGGGCAATTTTTAACGTAAAATATTAGAAATGGTTATTTTCCTTGGATAAGGCTGCTGGCTATTTTTTAGTGAAATTTTGTGTTAGGCATGGTGGATTTTAGAGACAGGCTCTTCAGTTACTCAGTATTCTTGCTGGAATAAATAGGAATTGAAGTGGAGGAAGGGATGGGGGATAAAAGTGGGATTGGCTAGCCATCCCTTCCACTTCTAAACAGGTATGTCTGTGTGTGTATTTATTTATAAACACATATGCACACATATTTTTATTTATTTGCTTGTTTGTTTATTTTTGGTACCAGGAGCACTTAGCCACTGAGCCACATCCCCAGCCCTTTTTATTTTCTGAGACAGGGTCTCGCTAAGTTGCTGAGGCTGGCTTTGAACTTGTGATCCTCCTGCCTCAGCCTCCCAGGCCACTGGGATTACGGGCATGCACCACCTCAGCTGACCCAAACAAATATTTAAATGACTATATATGGGGTCAGCACGTTAAAATTATTGGTCTTAGAATTTATATTCACATTCCTCTGGGGAGTGGAACCCACTCTAATTCAGGCGGTTCTGAGCGCCATTGTGTAGGCACCGTGACCCTGACCACACCCACTTATGACCGCCCTTGGCACAACAGGGTAGATTCCCAAAGAGAATAAAACTGGCCTCCTCTTAACCGGTGCCCGGGGTTCTTCTCACTCTTAAGAACTTTCCGAGCATCACTCTGAGCCAAAGAGGAGCACTCTGCTTGTAATCCAGAGACGCGGCTGCCCCGGGCATGGGAAGCGAGCACTGCTCTGAGATGGACAAACATTTCATTTCTCCTGGGAACCAGGCTAAGGCACTCCTGTTGGGCTCTGTATGCCATGCGCCTGGGGTTTCAATACCACGATGACGCGCCGCTGCGTGTTTCCAAGGCAAGGCTCTGCTCATCCAAACGTGTGTGCCTCTCTGTGATTCTGCCTCCAAATGTCAGTCATTAGATTCGGAGGCAGGGCTCACTGTCTATTTTGGAAAGTCATCTCTCTGAAAACTGCCGGCAGCGACTCTCAGAATATGGAGCAGCGTTCTCTGCACGGCCGAAACCAGCATCAAATCCTAAGGGGATTCAGAATTAGAAATTTCTCATCTATTCTTTTCCTCTTCACGTCAGAGCTTTTGATTCCATCGCAATAGAAGAGACAGAGAGGGGGGAAAAAATAAAAAGGAAGAAGAAATTGAATTGAACCCTTTACGTAATCTTCCTGCAAGGGGACAGGGTATCTTTTAGGTGGGTGAAGGCCATTTGAGAAAGGATGAAAGCCCCTCAAATCTTTTAATAGTTGCCCATCTGTTCACAGTTATCTCTGTTCCCTGTTACCCAACTTGCCAAATGTTACCACCATGGACTTAGTCCTGACAGGGGGAAAAAAAAAAAAAAAAACGTGTTTGCTTTGTTAGCAAGCTCCGGGCCCATAGGAAAGCACCAGCCCGCCCCCCTCCCAGCAGCTCACAGAGGGAGCTGCCCTGGGAAGGCCTGTTACATTTCACACTTGAGACTGCCATCTCTGAGTGCTGCCTAATCAGACCCCCTGACAAGACCCACACTCACACCATCTAATGGCGCTCCATATGGTGAGAGACAACAGGACTCAGCCCCTAAACTGCGGGGCTGGGCAGATTGCTATGGAATGCAGTCTAACAGAGACTCAGATGTCACTCCGTGTAAAATCACCATGAGCAAGACCCAAGTCTTGCCACGGCTTCTAAAGAGACCAAAATGTGGCTCATACGATGAAGCTCGAAAGGGTTTAAAGTTTTAGAACAGGTTCTATGAGAAACTGAAAAATAAAAGAAAGAGTATACCAGGGGATATGTTAACACCTCCAAGAGGCTGCTGAGGTCCCAGCCCTCTCCTCCATCTCCCTCTCTCTCTCTCTCTCACAAACACACACACACACACACGCCCTCCGCTGCTCCTGTCAAGACCCTCAAGAATAAGGGAAAAACAGAGCTGCAGACTTTCCAAATTCTTCCCGGGCACTTCCATCTGCCTTGGCTTTCCAAAGTGCATTTAGCCAGTTTTGGACAGGAGCCAGGACCTGAGAATTAGGCTGAAGAAGCACATGAGGTAGGCAAGGCGGATGCAGGCAGCGGGGGCAGGATGGGGCGGGAGTCAGAGCGAGGCGGCCAGGGGAGTCTGCACAGGAGCAGTGTGTGTGTGTGTGTGTGGGGGGACACGGCAAGATGGCTGGAGGTGAGAGAGCCTAAGGAGCCGAGAACAGGAAGCCAGGTTGGCAGGTGGAGAGCCCAGAGACGCAGCCTGGTCCTGCAAGGCTCACTCATCCCCTTCATGCACCAACCCAGGGTGAGGGCTTTGGAGGATGCACGCGCACGCCATTCCAGAGGGCCAGGGTTGGAGAAGCGAAAGAGGGAGGCTGGCGCTTCACGGCTTTTGCTTTCAAAGGCTTGTTTGAAGAAGCAAGGGTTGGGATTCATCTTAATTCCTCCTTTGGTACCCATTTTTGGGTGTTCTCTTTGGAGTTCCACTAGGATGGGAAGCCCACCCACCCTTGTTTATCTCCTTCTTATTATTACTTGCGTTTTCCTCACTTTTCCTTTTCTACCTATTTTTCTTTTAATGGACACATACTACTTGGATCTACTTAGAGGTGACAGTGTGATAACTCAGTGCGTGTTCGCAAAGTGTAATCATCACACCGCGGTGATCAGCATCCCCTCTCCTTATCATTTAGCATTCCTTTGTGTTTGCAGGCTTGGGCTCTTCTCTCCCAGTTCTTCATTAAATAGATCATAGTTGGTTGTCAGTTACAGTCACTCTACTGTACTGTGGAAAACTAGGACTTATTCGGCCCATGGAACCACATTTAGTGCCCATCATCCAACCTCTCTCCCCATTCTCCCTTCCCAGTCTTAACTAATCATTTTTCTCCCCTCTTCTTCTTTGAAATCAACATTTTTAGCTTCCCCACATGTAAGTGAGAACACGTGGTACTTGTCTATGCATCTGGCTTATTTCGCTTAGCACCAAGTCCTCCACTGCCACCTGCTTACCACAAATGACAGGATCCCATTCTTTTTTATGGCCAAATACTATTCTAGTGTGTATATATACCCTACTTTCCTTATCCATTTCTTGTTCACATATCTTGTCCTTTTTTTTTAAAGTTTAATTTTTTTTTCATCAAAACTATACATGAACAGAAAGAGTCAACAATTCTACATGGCTCCTTTTTTTTTTTAAAGAGAGAGAAAGAGAATTTTTTTAATATTTATTTTTTAGTTATCGGTAGACACAACATCTTTGTTTGTTTGTGGTGCTGAGGATCGAACCTGGGCCGCACGCATGCCAGGCGAGCGCGCTACCGCTTGAGCCACATCCCCAGCCTGGCTCCTTTCTTTTTTATTTTTTTAATTCTCATTTTTTTTTTAGTGGTAGTTGAACATAATACCTTTATTTCATTCATTTATTTTTATGTGGTGCTGAGGATCGAACTCAGCGCCTCATACATGCTAGGCGAGCGCTCTACCACTGAGCCACCACCCCAGCCCCATGGCTCCTTTCTTTTTAACTGATACATAATAACATTAATATATTAATGGGATACCATGTGACATTTCGACATGTGGATACACCGCACTAGGCTGAAATCAGGTTGGACACGTCGATCTCCTCAAATATCTATAATGCCTTCGTGGTGACAACAGTGAATATCCTTTCTTGCAGCTTTTCAGGATACAACGCACATGATTTTTACACAGGTGTCAGGACTAAGTCCATGGTGGTAACATTTGTCCCTTTTCATTTTTTGTCTCAAGAATCAACCATTTTCAATTATTTTATCTATTTCTTTTGGCAACTACCTCCTCGTCTCTAAATAACATGCTTCGTCCTGTGTCTGGCTTATTTTTCTTCTGCTGTGACATTTTCCCTCGAGTTCCCACCCAAAACACGAGGGTCCTGACAATCCCCACTAACCACGCAACTGCAAAAGGAAATCTCACAATCCTCCCAATTGTGTCCAGTCTCCGCTTTTTTGTGTGACGACACTCAGCATCAGCACACTGTGCCTGTGCGCATTGAGCCACGAGGTGTACACAGCGGTCAGCTTTCCATGCTCTGCACGTCCTATTTCCCCAAAGCGATTATTTCCAGCTTCTTGGTCCCCGTGGACGTCCCAACAGTTCACACCCCAGCTCTTCCTCCTGCTCTTCCTCCATTCAAAGGAGCCAACACACCTGGGCTTCTCTAGACTCCTGGGACACAGCTCTTCTGCATGTTGCTCTGACTCACGTGGCTGTCCCAGCAGGTGCTGCGCGTGGTGACCCAGGTCACTGCCTGCTCCAGGCTAGGGGCTTCCCTCGCCTCTCTTAG